ATAGGAGACAGATTTTCATGCTACACCGGAACGAAGCGAGAACACGGCGGGAGGAACGCGCGGAGCAAAGTTAAGTGAATTGACACAGGGGGGACTTGGGGACTTAATATGGGGGATGAATTAATATGGGGGATGAATTACTATATGGGGGATGAATTACTATGGGGGATGAATTACTATATGGGGGTTGAATTACTATGGGGGATGAATTACTATATGGGGGATGAATTAATATGGGGGATGAATTAATATGGGGGATGAATTACTATATGGGGGGGATGAATTACTATGGGGGATGAATTACTATAGGGGGGATGAATTACTATAGGGGGGATTAATTACTATAGGGGGGATTAATTACTATGGGGGGGATTAATTACTATGGGGGATGAATTACTATATGGGGGATGAATTACTATGGGGGATGAATTACTATATGGGGGATGAATTACTATATGGGGGATGAATTACTCTGGGGGATGAATTACTATATGGGGGATGAATTACTATGGGGGACAAATTACTATATGGGGGACGAATTACTATGGGGAACGAATTACTATGGGGGATGAATTACTATGGGGGATGAATTACTATATGGGGGATTTATTACTATATGGGGGATGAATTACTATAGGGGGGATGAATTACTATATGGGGGATTAATTACTATGCTTACTATGGGGGAATATTACTATACTTACTATGGATGACACATACACATCATTCATCTACTCTTGGTCCGGCCCCCGGGTCCAATATATGAACCCATTGCGGCCCTCAAGTCAAAAAGTTTGCCCACCCCTGGGCTAACCTAATGATGTGGCTGAATTACAAATGTGTGGCTTCAAAACTCTACATAGAGTTCTCTCACTGGAGGAAACAGTCAAGGTCCATAATCCAAGACTCCACTCAGCAAACAAAAGAGCTAATCTAAAAGCACCAATCACATTATAGGTATACAAACATAAATATCCTTTTTTATATCCTTGGGGTGGTGATTCTAATTTAAAACGCCCTTGTCATGGTTCACAATATAGTGATGCCCAGGCATTACATCAGGTGAGCCTTTCCATTTCTGTTCCTATACCTTCAGACGATGGGGTTGCGTCTCTAAAACATTCGTTCAGTCACTGCAGTGGGTGACCATACTATCATTGGTTTACACCTTAAACTGATACTCTTATAAGTTCCCTGTGTTTATGTTTATTATTTAAACATTATTTAAACAATTTATGCAATGCTTTACATATATGTTAAATATCAAATAAGTGAAATAGTGTGTCCACTTAAGAGCCCTGAGGAAGTCACATGGTATTGTGACGCAACGCGTTGGCCCAACGTAGTGATGCACTTCTGGCATGGTGGCCATCTTGGTACACCTTTGTACACCCTTGTACACCCATGCACATTCATTACATCCAAAAGCATGTGGTTGGAGCCTTGATTTCTACTATTTTGACGTAAGTGCGCATTTTATCTGTTACTGTCCTTACTTGGCAATAAACATACTACACAATGGAAGCATGTGTTTTATGTTCCATATGAGTTGTTAGCGCAGCATTTTATCCTGCCTGGAGAGGAGCCATTATTGAAGTGCTGATCCCTAGAGGGAGATTTGTATACAGTGGGAGCAGTCTTTTGGAGTAACAGCTGACCTGGAGGATCTGTGAGAAGGATCCTATTAAACGTTTTGACTCGCAAGGGTCAAGTCTTTAAGGTGAGAGGCTGATTCAGCCGGCGGTCAGATAATCTTCTGCCCAACTACCAACCCACTTCTTTACACAAATATCAGCACAAGTGTTTTTTTCATCTGAGTGTGGTCATTCTTGTGTTTGGACTTTATACACACGGAAATAGACTTTGTTTGTGTGCAGTTGCACTTACTTCACATATATGCACATTGTTTTGATTTATCCACTATATGGGGTATTTATAAGTATATTTATGTGTTAATGTACACCTTTCATTTGTATATATGTATATATATATATATATATATATATATATATATATATATATTATATATATATATATATATACTCTTAGAAGCATGTATTGTTTGCAGTTGAATTCATTTTTTCAGTTGAAAGTATTTTGTTTTCACCATCACTATTGGAGCTTAGATCCGCTCACACTATTGTATCATTAGTTATTTGCATGATTTCACTTAAGTGGACACACTATTTCACTTATTTGATATTTAATTTACCAGTGTTTTTTATTTGTCCACTTTTATATAAGAATACATGTGAGTAGCGCTACATTTTTTTCCATACTCAAATCCTATGATCATTGGTATATGATTTAATGTATTCTCTGTATTCTTTTTGTTGGGATTTATTCTGAGCGCAGGAGGTTCACACCATTACTGTTTACATATATATTGTATAGTCACACATGTCCCTGCCCTTCTGTGTTTACTCTCTCTGTGTATTGCACTCTCTTTCCTACGAAACAAGATTGTAGCAAACTAAGAGCCAAATACACCCAATGAGTATCTCTGCTGTACCTCTGACTGTGGCTATGCTCTCCACAATAGTATTTCTGTCTCTGGTGTTGTGACTGTTTTTAAAAGTCAACAGTGTTAGCTTGTATACAGAGCCAACCCACCTTTCTGATGGTCAGTAGCTTTAAACTTATGCACTTCTCCAAATAGCTGCAGGTATTTACCACTGTGAAGTGTGTTTATTACCTGCTTCTTCCACCACACATTGGGGTTTATTTACTAAAGCTGGCTCACTCAGAATCTGGTGCACCTGTGCAAGGTAGCCAATCATCTTCTAACCTCAGCTTGTCTAATTTAGCTTTAGCAATAAAACCTGTAAGCTGATTGGTTTCTATGCGGTAGTCCACTGTGGTTTCTCTCACTGTGGTTTCTCTCACTAGCTCATACATCACTGCAAGACACATTATATTGCCAAAAGTATTGGGTCACCCCTCCAAATCATTGGACTCAGGTGTTCCAATCACCTCCATGGCCACAGGTGTATAAAATCAAGCACCTAGGCATGCAGACTGCTTCTACAAATATCTGTGAAAGAATAGGTCGCTCTCAGGAGCTCAGTGAATTCAAGCGTGGTACCGTGATAGGTTGCCACCTGCGCAATAAGTCTATCCATGAAATTTTCTTGCTACGAAATATTCCACGGTCAACTGTTAGTGGTATTATAAAAAAGTAGAAGCAACTGGGAACAACAGCAACTCAGCCACGAGAAAATGATAGAGCAGAGTTAGTGCATGCTGAAGCACACATTGCACAGACTGTCTGCAGAGTCAATAGCTAAAGACTTCGAAACTTCATGTGATCTTTAGATTAGAACAACAACAGTGCATAGAGAGCTTCATGGAATGGGTTTCCATGGCTGAGCAGCTGCATCCAAGCCTTACATAACCATGTGCAAAGCAAAGCGTCGGATGCAGCGGTGTAAAGCACGCTGCCCACTGCACTCTAGAGCAGTGGAGACATGTTCTCTAGAGTGACAAATCACACTTCTATGTCTGGATGGACAGGTTTGGGTTTGGCGGTTGCCAGGAGCATGGTACTTGCCTGACTGCATTGTGCCAAGTGTAAACTTTGGTGGAGGGGGGATTATGGTGTGGGGTTGTTTTTCAGGGGTTGGGCTTGGCCTCCTAGTTCCAGTGAAGGGAACCCTTAAGGCATGTGCATACCAAGACATTCTGGACAATTTCATGCCCCCAACTTTGTGGGAACAGTTTGGGGATGGCCCCTTTCTGTTCCAACATGACTGCACACCAGTACATAAAACAAGGCCCATAAAGACATGGATGAGCGAGTTTGGGGTGGAGGAACTTGATTGGCCTTCACAGAGTCCTGACCTCAACCTGATAGAACACCTTTGGGATGAATTAGAGCAGAGACTGCAAACCAGGCCTTCTCGTCCGACATCAGTGCCTGACCTCACAAATGTGCTTCTGGAAGAATGGTCAAACATTCCCATAGACACTCTCCTAAACCTTGTGGACAGCCTTCCCAGAAGAGTTGAAGCTGTTACAGCTGAAAAGGGTGGGCCAACTCAATATTGAACCCTATGGACTAAGACTGGGATGCCATTATAGTTCACGTGCGTGTAAAGGCAGGCGTCCCAATACTTTTGGCAATATAGTGTATATGACTCAAGAAAATGTCAAATACCTGCAGTGGCTATGGGGCAGCAAAGAGGCTTAGGGGTTTAAATACTAAACCTGGTTCACGCAGAATCTGGTGCAGCTGTGCATGGTAGCCAATCAGCTTCTAACCTCACCTTGCTCAATTAAGCTTTGGTAATAATACCTGGAAACTGATTGGTTTTTATGTAGAAGGGCACCTGATTTTGCACTCTCTGGCTTTAGTAAATAAAACCCAGAGTTAGATGATATGGACCACCAGAAAGGGAAGCACATGCTCTTTTTTTTTTAAAATGGCTGTCTCTGTTTACAAATGATAATATGGTGACAGTTTCACATTGAAATAAATGGGACATTGGTGTCTATAGGTTGTGACAAATCTGCCTGTGTAGGAAAACAATGGCAAGTAGGAAATGATGAAAGAAAAAGAAGATGTGGTGACAGGGTCACCTTAATATCCAATGCATAAATGGTGTTGCTGCAAGGAAGGGGACCCTACAAGGCCCTGAAATATTGACAAATTGACTTATCAGTTAGGGGTTGATTTACTAAAGGCAAATAGGCTGTTCACTTTGCAAGGAAAATATCCCCAACGGTTAGAGAATGGTGTGAAGCTCTACTAACTTTCATCATCCTATCATGTGCAGGCAAAAATGCTTTTTTTATTTTCATTGCTAGTCATTGGGTACTCTTTGCAAAATGAAACATCACCACATTTACTAAGCACCCTTCCCTTGCAAATTGAACTGCCTTTGGTAAATCAACCCCTAAGTATCCTCAAAGGATTGTGACACCGGTAACTTCTTGTGCCATTACTTGATTTACAATGGTTTATTTTACTTACTGAGTTTTAGATCCCTATGGATTATCCTATGAAGATGCAAGTATTGTACCCCAAGTAATATCTGCTTCATGTAATAGCGAACTTCAGGCTCTGTCAGTAATTTTCGTATGCTCAATATGTGAGCAAGAGACTGCAGACAAAAAGACACAGAAGCATAAGTGCATGTAATATGAAATACACACATGTAAACACTATCAGCTAACACCTATAAAAAGGGAAAGGTAAAGGGGTTTTGAAATAATTTAGAAATGTGTAACATCATTTACATATCACATGTATATAATTAAGTGCTTTGAGTAAATGTATGCAATAGCCTCTAATCATGGCTGCATAACAATAAAAACATATGCTAATGCTGGCTGTACACCTAATTATTGGCAACAGCTAACATATAACTTCTACTTAAATAAAGCAGGCCATATTTTTCGATAATTCTGAAAGACACATTTAATATCAGTAGCATCTCTACCTCTACTACACTCTCCTACTGCTACTTCTAAATCTAATGGGGGTAGAGAAAACAACAAAAACAATGGAAATAGGTTGAAACTGCTGTAAAATTTTTATTGCTGCATATGTCATCTTGCCCCATTGACACCCTTCCATCCATTGCATGTGCTGCTGATAAAAGGGTGTTGTCCCGAACAGGGTTGCAGACAGCAATTAAACTAATAGATGTAAAGCGCTGCTCAAACTATTGGCGCTATATAAATCTGTATATTAATAATAGATGTTTGATCTTTTCCCCCGTCTAACCAGACTAAAATAATTACCTGGCTGGACCTTGAATTTATTTACATTTTTTACTCCTATTTTATTTACCTTTTTTGTTTTGTGTCTATGTAGATTTCTTATTTATATGTTTATTGTATATGTGCTTCTGAAAACTGGGTAGTATACTGACATAAATGAACAACTGTCAAAAGCCACTGCTCTCTTCTCTCCTCTGCCTCTGTATAATGTAACCCAGGGCTTAAAATTTCAACTCCTGAACTACTAGCCAGGCCTTAAGAGTTACTCGCCACCAACAAACACACACAAACAGAGACACCTGTACACACACACAGACATGTACATACACACACAGAAACATACACACACGCACAGAGACACATGTACACACACACACACACACACATACAGACAGACGCATGTATACACACACAGGCACGTACAGACACGCATACACATAGATACATGTACATACACAGAAATACACAGACACATGTACATACATACACAGACACATGTACACACAGACACATGTACGTACATACACACACACACATGTACATGCACACACACACAGACACATGTACACACACACAAACACATGTACACACACATACATGTACATACATGCAGACACATGTACAGATACACACATGTACTGTACATACACACATACACATGTACATGCATACACAGACACACACAAAACACACACACATGTACATGCACACACACACAGACACATGTACACACACACAAACACATGTACACACACATACATGTACATACACGCAGACACATGTACAGATACACACATGTACTGTACATACACACAGACACATGTACATGCATACACAGACACTCACAAACACACACACACACACACACACACACACACACACATGTACACACACACCCCTCTAAAAAGTTGCAGCACTTCGTTGTTCACTCACAGAGCCGAGTACTGAACTCTAGGGGGAGGCAGAGAGCACAGCACACACTATTTGCGTTGCTTTCATTGCGCTCAGCTATTGAGCAGTCTGACGGCTGCCAGTGCCAATTACAGATCCGACCTGAGCTCCGAGCCTGCTCAGCAAGACGGCCCTGGGGGACACACTCACCCCCACCATAATTTCCACTCACCAGTGGTGAGTAGGCGAGTGGAAATTTCAAGGCCTAATCTAACCTACATTAGGGAGAAAATGTATAATGGATCTAGGTAGCGATTTCATTGACCAGTACTATCCATTAAAAAATTTACCCATCTAAGGGGCATCCTTCTTTTATGAGATTATTACAAAAAGCAGTTTTCTCTTATTCATGTAAATTCCTAAAACTACATTTTATACTTATTAAATTTCAATTCACAAAGATGTATGGCATGCTTTATCAAGTCAACTCTGTAAATAGTACTATAATATCACTACTAGTGCTATTATAACCCCATCAGTGTTATTTTATCAGCCCTTATGAAAAAAAAAAATCAATGGTAAAGTCAATTCACAAAGATTAAGGCACAGATTATCACTCCTTAAAATACACCAGCCCCAGGCTGGTGATTAATGGGAGTTTTAATAGCTGTCTATGGAGGAGGAGGAGATGAGGAAAAAAGAGCCTTTGAATTAGTGATAAAATAGCACTTCACAAGATAAAATAAATGTATGAGAAAAAAAAAGCTGTCAACATGTAAGTGTTTATTTAATGGATAAGTTCACCTTTATAACATATTACACATGTATACACATGTTACTGCTGCAGCCGCTTCCGCCCCCCACCCCAAGTCGCAGTTGTGATAGCAAGTTTCTCCCCATGCCTGCTTTCACAATTTAAAAAAGATGCGAATGTGTGGGGCTCCGCTCACCCAGCTGCGTCATATATTTACAGAGTTCTGTGAATAGGAGAACTCATTGTTTAACTGCCTTTCCGTACGAAGTACGAGCAGACAGCTTACACTGACAGTCTGTAAAAGCCTTGCATTGCACCCATGATCTGCTGATCAAGGGTGCAATGCTTTACAGGCTCCCAATAAAATAAATAAATAAAAATATATGAACTTTTTTTTACCTGCAAAAAGATGTGCATTTATTATCTTTTTTAAAAGGTGAACTTATCCTTTAACATGGAAAAGCTAGCAGTATACATTTTAGGATTGTGAATTGAAATTTTTTGGAGGAAATCATCATGAGTAGTGGTTTTAAAAATAAAATTGAACCTTCAAATCTCTAACCAATAGATATAAGAAATTTTGAGGTATCAAAGAAAAGTCATACAGTACAAATAAGGTGTTGATTTACTAAAACTAGAGAGGGCAAAATCTGCTGCAGCTCTGCATAGAAACCAATTAGCTTCCAGATTTTAGTGTCAAAGCTTAATTGAACAAGGTGATTGGCCACCATGTACAGCTGCACCAGATTTTGGACTCATCCCCATAATGTATAAAAATTAAATGAATAACCCACTTGGGGGGTTGAACAGGAAGCCCTGTTATCAGAATCAGAGGGAGATTTGACTAATAATGATCAAATATTTATTTTGGGCTGCAGTTTTTATGCACAAACCCAAAAACACCTGACTTCTGGGCTTCCACAAACTCAAAATATTACTAATTACTACAGTAAAGGGATGAAAAAAAAAATCTGGAGTGTTTACCACAAGGCAAACAAGGCATTTGCCTAGTGCAGCATTTTTTAAGGAAGGGTGGCGCTGCCCCCGGCAGAAGTGTGCTAAATTCCGTAGCCCCAGCCACTTGCTAGGGATTTGGAATTTTTTAAATACTTGTCCCCTCAGCAAGCAAACTAAAACTTCCACGCTGTGGGGGGGTGCGATCAGGTTGGCGGTATGTGTGGGGGGGTGCGGTCAGGTTGGCGGTATAATGGAAGGGGTGTGATCAGGTTGGCGGTATGTGGGGAGGGTGCAATCAGGTTGGCAGTACAACGGAAGGGGTACGGTCAGGTTGGCGGTATGTGGAGGTGCATGATCAGGTTAGCGGTATGTGGGGGTGAATGATCAGGTGGCAATATGTGAGGGGTGATCAGGCTGGCAATATGTGGGGGGGGGGGGGGGGGGGTGATCAGGTTGGCAATATGTGGGGGGGTGATCAGGTTGGCGATATGTTGGGGGGATGATCAGAAGGGCATGCACTGGGGTATATGTATGGGGTGGATTCATCTGGGGTAGGTGGGATAAACTATAGGGCATGTATATTGGGAGGGTGAGGGTGCCCGATTTTTGTGTTGCCTGAGGCAGCACAAAAACAACATACACCACTGCTGCTCATCTACATACCCTTTAAGTAATATTATATATTTTTTAAATTATCTAGCTCTGTGGAGCTGTGTGTTCACCTGTGGTTGCTGGCAGTGCCTCTTGTAAACATTAATATAATTGATAAACAATGATATAATGACATAATGTCATATACAGTTTTTGCTTATCTGTAAATAAATGTATGTATATTCTCCTTTATTTTTATTTGGAGTTTTGCTATTATTGGGCATAGTTACATGTAGTCTGGCTGAAAAAAGTCATCTAAGTTCAACCAAAAAAAGTTCTAATCTTAACCCACAGATCTGCAAAAAACCCAGAACATCCAATTTGCACCTGCAGGGGGAAAAAACATTAGATGTTGCCAATGGTTTGGAATAACTTGCACCTATAAATGTAATCCATTCATAATGCTAAGAAAGAAAAATCCAGGCCTTTTTAAAGCAATCTATGATCTGGCCAGAAACAACTCTTGAGGGGTCTATTCCACATTTTCACAGCTCTTTCTGTGTTGAAACCTTTCCGTATTTGGCAGCAATCTAACCTCAACGTAAAGAGTGCAAACTTGTCCTCCTGTAGTTGACCTCACAGAGATCAAACCTGTAACAACGATTTGTTTGAGTCTTATGCACTTTAGGATTACGACCTCTTCACAAAACTGTTTCACTTGTAGCAGTTGGAAATATTCTTGAGTCATTTGTCATCGCTTTCTCTTAAGTGAATATGCAGACAAGCTTTAGGAATTGGGTTGAAGTCAGGCAATACTGGGGACATTAGGGCAGTTTTGTTCGTTCCCAGTGCAGCCAAGCTTCTGTGCTGTTCTCCTTGGCCTGATTTTGTTGCCACAATTTTTACTCTGTTTAGCCTTTGTGCCCAAGGGTCATTGTCTCTGTGCTCATCATTCTGTAGCCCCCGGCCTGGCGGATTGTCTTTTTGTTTATCAGTTGGCGGATTCACTTGTCAGCTGGTCGTCACTTGTTTTCTTGCAAATGTCTGATAAACTGGGGTCAGAACAGCCAAATTTTCCACCTTCAGGAGCTCTAATGACAAAACCGTCCAGACTTTTTTGTCCTGAGGCAGCCAAGCACCTGCTCAAACATGATGCTCCCTCCGATCATGTTTTACAGTGGGGATGAGGTTTTAAGATGTTGGTGTGCTGTGCCTTTTTTTTCTCCACACATTTTAGTGTTGCAAGTGTTCTTTCCCAAACAAATTCAATCTTGGTTTCATCTTGTACCTTATACGTCTTTGTCAGTAGTGCTGTGGAACATCCAGGTGCTCTTTTGCATTTAACTTCAAATTTAACTTGCAATATTCTTTTTGGTCTACAGCAATGGCTAGCAACAAGTACGTACTTTGGGGTGTGTAAAACCTCCCATGTACACCATTCTGACTGTTTCAATGTTTTCCTTATTGTAGATGTGTCAACAAAAATGTTAGCATGTGCCAGAGATTTCTGTAGGTCTTTAGCTGACACTCTGGGATTCTTCTTTACCTCATGCAGCATTCTGCGCTGTGCTCTTGCAGTCATTTTTACAGGACGACCACGCCTAGGGAGAGTAGCAACAGTGCTAAACTTTCTCCATTTGTAGACAGTCTGTCTTACCGTGGACACATGACCATCAAGGCTTTTGGGAGATACTTTTGTAACCCTTTCCAGCTTCATGCAAGTCAACAATTCTTCATCGTAGCTCTTCCGAGAGCTCTTTTCTGCGAGGCATGGTTCACATCAGACAGTGCTTCTTGAAACCAGTAAACCCAAAACAGGTGTGTGTTTTTTTAAGGGCAGGACAGCTGTCAGCAACACATCCATAATATCATCACACTGATTGGAGTCAACGTTGGCTCACTCCTGGCTCCAATTAGCTCTGGGAGAAGTCATTAAGCTAGGGCCTCACATACATACTTTTTCCTCCCTGCACTGTGAATGTTTACATGTTATGTGCAATTAAAACCATGGCAACATCTAATGTTTGTGTAGTATTATGTTCAGCAGACTGTGTTCTTCTTTATTGTTGTGACTTAGATGAAGTTCAGAGCACATTTTATGCCCAATTCATGCAAAACTCCACGTAATCCCAAGGGGTTCACATACTTTTTCTTGCAACTGTAGATGGTTTTTATCTTATCTGTAAATACACATAATACATGTATATTCATACTTTGTTTTTTATTTTGATTTGTAGCTATTATTGATATAGTTACATAGTTAGTCTGGCTGAAAAAAGACAAAAGTCCATCCAGTTCAACCAAAAAAAAGTTCTAATCTTATACCCACAGTTGATCCAAAGGAAGGCAAAAAAAAACCCAGAAAAGCCTGATCCACTTTGCCCCTGCAGGGGAAAAAAATTCCTTCCTGATCCCCCGAGAGGCAATCGGATATTCCCTGGATTAACTTTACCTATAAATGTTAGTATCCAGTTATATTCTGTGTATCTAAGAAAGAATCCAGGCCTTTTTTAAAGCAATCTACTGAACTGGCCAGAACCAGCTCTTGAGGGTGTCTATTCCACATTTTCACAGCTCTTTCTGTGAAGAAACCTTTCCGTATTTGGAGATTAAATCTCTTTTCCTCCAGACGTAAAGAGTGCCCCCTTGTCCTCTGTGATGACCTCACAGAGGATGAAATATTGTAATTACTGATTTGTTTGCATTTCTTATGCACTTTAGATTGATTACCGACCATTTGTTTAACCAACCATTAACTTCTGCAGCAGTTGGAAATATTAAAAAAACATTTTGAGTCATTTGCTCATCTCTTTCTCCAATAATGTGAATATACTGCAGACAATGTTCTCTTAGGAAATGGTGTTCTCAGTTAGGATATTAAACAGGCAATATGGGGAACATTAGTGTCAGTTTTGTTCGTTCCCGTGCAGCCAAGATCTCTCTCTCATTCTCTCTTGGCCTCACCAGGATGCACCTCTTAAAGGGGCCACATCTATTTTTGGCTTCTGCCTTTCAGCCTGTTGTGCCCAAGCATCAGTTTTCATTGGTCTCTGTGCTCAGTCTTTATTCTGTAGCCCCCGGCCTGGTTTTTTTGGATTGTCTTTTTGTTTATCAGCTTTGGCATTGGATTCACTTGTCAGCTGCCTGTCCTGACTCATGGCTTGTCTACTGGTTTCCACTTGTCTGCAAACCTGGGGTCAGCAAACAGCCAAATCCATCTCCACCTTCAGGAGCTCTAATGAAAATGACTGGTCTTTAGACTTTTTGTCCTGGGGATCCCACGTCACCTGCTCACACATGAGTTCACTTCCTATGATCAGTCATAATAAGCTTGGTGGAGTCATTTTTAAGATGTTTGAATTTTGTTCTATTTTGCTCAATTGTGCACAATTTTATGACTGTTCAAATACAAGTTAATTATATTTATTATATTTAATTTAATTTATGATTTTTCTTTGGTACCTTGAACGTCTCTTAATCTTTTATGAGTTGCTTATACTTATAATTTCATCAACAGGTAAACTGAAATTACTATTTAAGTTTATATTTAACTTACAATTTTTAGAGAATTTACCTACCTTGTGTCTACAGTACTCTAGCAACAAGAACACGTACTTTGGGTCTTGAAAATGGTGGTAAAACCTGACAATGTTTCTGTGCTTTAACTGACTGTGGAGTTCAATTTCTTTTTCAACCTATTGTCAAAGCACAGAGAGAAATGTTAAGTCTAAATATGTCTGCATTCCAACAAATAATTTTTATATTCATAGACAATAAATACTGTGTTTATGAGTGATATTTTTGATATTATTTAAAATAAATCCGTAACAAGTAATGTAGGAAGTAACCCATTACTTATTTCTTTTTATAAATACTAGTTACTTGGATGTCTTCTCTTTCATTGCTTACTGTGTTAATAACCCAGAAAGAGCATTTAGTTAGTCTGAATATCAAGCTTTTTCCATACGTACTTGTTCCTTGTCACTATCTAGAAAATACCGAAGCCAGAGAGTCAGCATACCAGCCTAGTCAGCAATGGCAGGATACATAATTATCTCAATATACAGGGATTGCAACTCTACCAAATCTACCAAAACTAAAGAAAAGTCTTGGCTATACAAACACTTCAAAGAGACACAGTCACCTTGCCCATGCAGGGCTATGTAATTTGCACATGGGAGAGAACAGAAGATTTTATTGTATTTTTTACTTGGTGAATGCTGGAATTAGAGAGGTCAAGTTTGAGGCTTTCAGCAAAGTTGATAGATTGTGAAAGTTTGAAACTATAATTTTTTAATATGATAACATTGAAAGAAAGCTACCACTCTATAGACCTCAATAAACTATCACCGTAGCTGTGGGCTGGTGGCTTTAAGAGGTGGTTTTTCATTTTTTTAACCTGTAAAAAATATCTAAAAAGAAGTTTGAGGTTGTTAAAAAATAAACATTTATACCAACCTCCATGCCGCAGCATTTGTCTAATGCTGCAGCTGTCCCCTGCTGGTTCTAAGCCCAAGAACTGAGCAATCACTTGACCACTGATTCCTCAGTTCCTGGTCAGCTTGGAACAGAGAGCAGTGACTGTCAGTCACATCTCTCTGCTCTGCTTCTTCAGTGCTCACTGGAGCACTGGGCTGGAGAGGGGGCAGGAGCAGCTGGCTCTGGCTCTCAGCTATTTGCTGAGAGGCTGAGCTAGCTGCCAGTCAGGCATCTGGGTGGATCATGACAATATGGTTGTGATCCACCCAGGGCCTTGATCGACTCTGATGTCAGCCAACAGCAGACTTTACCCTGTTGTCAGCTGAATCTGGGTCACAGGACAGCATGATGAATCACACTCCTGTGACCCACAAAAAAAGTTTGGCCAAAAAAAAGCTTTGGCCTTACATCTCTTTTAACATTTATAGGTACTTCCGTAACATTACCATACCACTGTTAGATCTGTTCAATATCTAGCAGTCCTATATCCTATTGCCTAAATTGTATTATAAAATTGAGGCTGAAAGGCAAACTGTAATAATTTTTAGTTATTATTATGTTGCTGCTTTAATTATGCAAGTTTATAAGTCTTTTTTTTCAATGTTTGAAATCTTTACAAATAAATTTTAAATAGAGGGTACCCCTGAGACAAGAGTTTGGCCCCTTTCACAGAGGCCTGATCAGTTTTTCTCAGCAGGGGATCAGTCCGCTGATCCCCTGCTGAGCTGAGTTGAGTGGCTGGATGGCAGGTCTGTGTCCGTTCTGCTTATAAAGAGTGGACACGGACGTAGCCCGCTCTACTATGGGCAGTCAGTTGGACTCGATCAGACCCTTCATTCTCCTTTATGGAGTGGCGTATGTAAACTGACTTGTGTCTGTTTACACCTGACTGCCCTCCGATCTGATCCAGCTAGATGGAGGGGAACCGATCCCATTCCATTTGTATTTGCCAGATTAGATTGGAGGTAGGTGATTGTAAACAAGTCTGTTTACATCCACCACTCCATAGAGGAGAATGAAGGGTCTGATCGAGTCTGCATGTCCTTTTTTCAGGATTGGACGGCTCATGTGAAAGGGGACCTTAGCAGAGCATTTTGGACTTTCTAAAGTGAAAAACAAACTTGCTCACTATTTCAGCTTCTAAATCTCATCCTCTATCTCTAAATATGCTGAGAGAACTAGCTAGAACAGTATCCCTGTTATATATTTTGAAGATGAATTGCTCCATATGCCTGCAAGTACCGAGGTCAATGAGAGCTTGCTTTAACACCTCTTTGCTTGTTAAGAATTTGTAAATAACTGAATGTCAGTAGCCCAACTACAGGCTCACTTTAAAGAATCAAGTAGTATTAAGCTTCATTGCATCAGGGGATAGCAACTTTCATTTTCATCTCATTGTATAGTGAAAGTTTTTGAAGTTTAGAAAACCAGAGTCATAGATCACAAATTAGACAAACCAGGATGAACATAATTTGATAAACATTAAGGGCTCATGTACAAGGGAAGTTTGGTTTCCACAGGCGTGCAAGGGAGGAAAAGGTGCAGCATACTGCCTGCTGCTAACAGCCTTTAAAAAATAATGATAGGCAGAAATACTAGATGTCTCTAGACTGCTGAATGCTGTCCTGAGCCATTCTTGCGTTTAGGGCATACAATCTGGTTCCACTCTCAGTTTTTGTGCTGTACAAGCCAAAGCACCTGTGTATATGAGCCCTAGATATTAAAACAATGACCCAGAGACCATCGAGGGTCTGTAAATAATTTGAAATGAAATGCAGTGAGGGGTAGTTGGTATGAAATGTAGCGAGGGGTAAGTGATATAAGGACTTATTAGTAAAGTTTTAGGCAATCATTAGGAAAAAGTGTTGTAAATAAAGATTGCTGTCAGAAATAAAACTGTTAATAGTCTACTTTTATCAATTAACAAAACAGAAAGTAAATGAACAGAAGAGAACCATCCGCAAACTGAACCCGACCCATCTCCACCCAGCAGCTGACCGTCTGTATGACAGTATCCTCCCTCTGTCATGCCCTGACCTGGCCACTACTGTGTACAATGACTCACTGTCGGCTGCCCTCGACTCCCTGGCACCCCTAACCACGCATAACACCAGACCCCGACCGCTTCAACCCTGGAAAAACGACCATACGAACCGTCTCAAACGACACAGTCACGCGCTGGAGCGCTTATGGCGCAAAACCAGATCCCATCGCGCGTTCTCCCTCTACAAAGCCGCCTTCCTCACCTACACCACCTCCCTCCACGCCGCCAAGGAAGCCTATTTCCTAACCCTTATCAACACCCTCTCCACCTGTCCTCGCTGACTCTTCTCCACTTTCAAATCCCTGCACTCTCCCCCCCCCCACCTCCACTCAGCACCTCTCTCACCGCCCACGAGATTGCCAATCATTTCTAAAACAAGATTGACGCAATCCGTAAGGAGAATGTCAACTCACAATCTACCTCTCCACCCAGCCCCCCGCCCTCCATCATCCCCTCCACCCTCCCCCCTCCTCCGACCTCACAACCACACTACCCCCCACTATGCCCAACGTCCCGCACACTATCACCTCCCCAACGCTCCACTCCTTCAGCCCAGCTACCCCTGAGGAGGTCTCTAAGGTCTTCACTGAAGCCCGCCTCACCACCTGCCTCCTGGACCCTATCCCCTCACAGCTCCTCCAGTCACCCCCCCCTCCATCATTCGCTCCCTCACCCACATCTTCAATCTCTCCCTCTCCACTGGCACTTTCCCCTCCCCTCTAAAGCACGCACACATCACCCCCATACTCAAAAACCCTCCCTTGACCCCACTGACTTGAACAACCTTAGACTCATCTCCCTGCTACCATTCACTTCCAAGCTCCTTGAGCGCCTGGCCTACAATCGCCTAAGCGCCCACCTCACTGATAACAGTCTGGCTTCTGTCCCCTACACTCCACCGAAACCGCCCTACTTAAAATCACCAACGACCTGCTAATCGCCAAAGCTAATGGCCATTACTCTGTTCTCCTGCTCCTTGACCTCTCCGCGGCCTTCGACACTGTTGACCATCCTCTCCTCCTTACTAAACTGCACTCCCTTGGCATCAGGGACGTTGCTCTCTCCTGGTTCTCCTCCTACCTTTCCCAACGTTCCTTCAGCGTCACCTATAACACTGCCACCTCCCCCTCTCTCCCCCTCTCTGTCGGAGTCCCCCAAGGCTCTGTCCTCGGGTCCCTTCTCTTCTCCATCTACACCTCCTCCCTTGGCAAACTAATACACTCCCTCAGCTTCAATTACCACCTCTATGCCGACGACACACAAATTTACCTCTCCACCCCCCATCTCACCCCCTCTCTCTCTGCCCGCATCCCCCACCTCCTGAACGACATATCAGACTGGATGTTGCTTCATTTCCTCAAATTAAACCTGTCCAAAACCGAGCTCCTGGTCTCCCCCCCCCCGCGCCCCCCCTTCCTCTCCTTCACTACTAACAACGCCACCATCACTCTCACCCCACATGCCAAAGTCCTGGGTGTCACCCTGGACTCGAACCTTTCCTTCCTACCTCATGTCCAATTACTATCAAGATCATGCAGGCTTCACCTGCGCAACAAGATACGTACATTCCTCACCCCAGACACTACTAAACAACTCGTACACTCCCTCATCATCTCACGCCTGGACTACTGCAACTCCCTTCTCACTGGCCTATCCAAACAAACGCTATCCCCACTCCAGTCTATCCTGAACTCAGCGGGTAGACTCATCCACCTCACCAACCGCTCCACATCTGCCACCCCCCTCTGCCAATCCCTTCACTGGCTCCCGATTGCCCAGCGCATCAAATTCAAACTGCTAACTCTGACCTACAAAGCCATTCACAACGCCGCCCCAAACTACCTAACCGACCTGATACCCAAATACTACCCTACCCGTGCCCTTCACTCCTCACAGAACCTCCTACTCTCTAGCTCCCTGATCTCCTCCTCCCACGCCCGATTGCAGGATTTCTCCAGGATTTCCCCCATCCTCTGGAACTCCATACCCCAATCCATCAGACTGTCACCTACCCTCCTCACATTCAGGTGCACCCTGAAAACCCACCTCTTCAGGGAAGCCTACCCCACCCTCACCTAACAACTGACCTCCTCCACTCCTTCCACCACTCCATCCCCCACAGCCATTTCCTCCTGTACCACTTTCCCCTCCCTCCTAGATTGTAAGCTCGAAAGAGCAGAGCCCTCGAACCCCTCGTGTATTGTATTGTTTCTGTCTTGTCTCATGTTCTGTCCCCCTTGCTATTGTACAGCGCTGAGCAAACCCTTTGGCGCTATATAAATACTGTATAATAATAATAATAATAAAGAGAAATCCAAATCAAATCATATCAAATATTTGGTGTGACCAGGGGCGGACTGACCATTCAGTCAGTAGGGGGCCCCATGAAATGCCCCTGGTACCTTTTATAGGCTTTTTTGGGTGTGCTTTGAGTGTGGGCAAGGACACAGAGGCCCCATGATCCCCTATTGCCCGGGGACCCCATGAGTTGTCAGTCCGCCCCTGGGTGTGACCACCCTTTTTGCCTTCAAACCAGCTTTAATTTTTCTAGGTACACTTGCACAAAGTTTTTGAACGAACTCGGCAGGTAGCTTGTTCCAAACATCTTGGAGAACAAACCACAGATCTTCTGTGGATGTAGGCTGCCTCAGATCCTTCTGTCTCTTCATGTAATCCCAGACAGACTCGATGATGTCGAGATCAGAGCTTTGTGTAAGGTAAACCATCACTTTCAGGACTCCCTGTTCTTCCTTACACTGAAGATAGTTCTTAAAGACATTGGTTGTATGTTTTGGGTCGTTGTCATGTTGCAGAATAAATTTGGGGCCAATCACATGCCTTCCCGATGGTATGGCATGATGTATAGGTATCTGCCTGTATATCTCTGCCTACAGACACTCATTATTGTACTACTCTCCAGCCCTTTGGTGAACAAACTTCCTCCTGCTACAGACAAATATTTAAAATTTTGACCCATCAGTCCAGAGTACCAGCTGCCATTATTCTGCACCCCAGTTCCTATGTATTTGTGCATAGTTGAGTCGTTTAGCCTTGTTTTCATGTCAGAGGTATGGCTTTCTGGCTACAATTCTTCCATAAGGCCACTTCTGGACAGACTTTTCCAAGCAGTAGATGGGTGTACCTGGGTCCCACTGGCTTCTGCCAGTACTGTGCTGATGGTACTGTCGGACATCTTCCGGTGTCAAAGGAAAGTAAGCATGATGTGCCTGTCACCTGCTACATTAAGTTTTTTTGGCTGACCACTGCACCTACGGTCCTCAACATTGTCTATTTTTCTTGTGCTTCTTCAAAAGAACACATCTTGAAACACAAATCTGCTTTGAAATCGTTGCCTGGGAGAGATTTAGTTGATGCTGTATACCTTTCATCGTGTTGCTGTGCTCAGTCTTGCTATTGTGTATGACCTGTGAAATGAAACTGTCTTCCACAACTTCACCTTAGTAGCAGAATTTGGCTGTTCCTCACCCAGTATTAAGGTTTCCTACACAGCTGTTTCAGGGAATGACTGTGTTTCAGTCTACATTTGAAGTTGATGATCATTAGTACTTGTTTGGTATAATAGCTTAATCATATACTTGACTCTAATCCTACAAAATCCCTGACTTTCTGCAAGTGTAAAAATTGATGCCTGCTTGAAGCCAAAGGGTAGTCACACCAGATATTGGTTTGATTTAGATTTATCTTCTGTTTGCTCACTTTGCATTTTGTAAATTGATAAAAATAAAGAAATTAAATATACATTTTTGTAAACTTTCTTGCTTTACAGCATTTCTTCACACCTGCTTAAAACTTTAGGACAGTACTGTATTTTTTAAAACTGTTTTTTGAAGGCTTTCTTTACACTTTAATGTTTGGGAAATAGTTAATACTTTGCTGGTAAAGTGAATTCTATAACTGCTGGATAATTGAAGAACTCCTGAAGATGAATGTTATGAACAAAGTTCGGGGGTTGTATGTTATAGCTGATTGAAGGGCAAAGGTGAGCAGTAGAAATTAAAGCTTTGCATTTTCTGTCATGTCATAGAAGAGCTAATGGACAAGAAGGAGTTAAAGCTTGCAAGCATTTACTCTCACCCCTCCTCTTTGTTGTATCACAGATTTTCTTGTGTGGGAGATCATTTTCACTGCAAACACTTGCCTACTGGACACATCTGTGAATTTGTAGCACCTCCCAAAAGCACCCTGTAAGACATAAAATAAAATTAAGGGTGTCACTAGTGACACGTGCCAATTTCTACATAATTTTAAAGTGACAAAACACAAAGGCATCTTATTTTAACCTGAGGATTCATTCCAGCATGCTTCTAAAGCTATAATTAACATTTTACAGCAGTCTCTCATGTTAAAGCAATCACAATGGCTTGACAAGTTGTTCCTAAGAATTGTCACTAAATATAGTTGAGAGAGCTAAAAAAAAGCTTAGAAACAGACACTTAGTAAAAATTAAGTTGACTGGAAGCAGGTCTGTAGACATGTCACATATCAACATTGGTACCCCCTCGAATGGAAAGCAAACACACACATTAGTATTTTTTTTTAAATAGGTATATATATATATATATTTTTTTTTTTTGCACATTGTACCTTAGTCTTAATACAAACAGTCCTTGATGCTGGCACAGTTAAAACATTTTCTTTTCACTTACCCTCCCCAGTAGTTTTCCTCTCTTGTACAATCTTCCAGTTGTTGCATCTTCAGTGAGATAGTGTGCTCCATGTGTGCGAATGCTGCCATTAATATCCATATCTTAACCATTTCCAGCCCAGAACTCCTCTTTCAGTCTCCCAAAGCGCTGGCAGAACACAAACATCCAGCCACCACAACAGTCACACTCTACCATTTGAAGAATTCTGCAGGGATAGCTAACTCAAGAGATGGGAGGAGTGAGGAAAGGCGTGGAGGAGACTGTGAACACATATTAGGAAGAGGAATAGTGCATTGTTTAGAGATGTGATAAAAGTAGCACAATAAATAATTGATGAATTTGTCAGAATACATAAAGAAGTTTAAAACGATATTTTGTAATATATGAGATATTACAATATATTGTTTTAAACTTCTTTATGTACTCTGACAAAGTCATCAATTATTTATTGTTCCCAGGTTTATGAAAAAACCTAAATGACATACATAAAGAGGAACTGAACTCTGGAAGCTGTGCTCAAAACCAAGCAAAAAGGTCTAATCACCAGTATTGCCTGTGGTCTACCTACAACTGATTTTTCTGCATTACTACAATGTCCTAGCATGCTGCAGATATACAGCTGAGGCTATAGGCACAAGAGTGCCTAGGCACACTATAATCACATTTTGACGTTTCAGGTCCACTTACGTACACACAGTTACACAGTTAGTCTGGCTGAAAAAAAAAAACAAAAGTCCATCCAGTTAAAAAAAAAAAAGCTATAATCCTATACACCACAATTGATCCAGAGGAAGGCAAAAAAAACCCCAGCAAAGCATGATCCAATTTGCTCTTGCAGGGGAAAAAATTCCTGATCCCCCAAGAGGCAATCGGATATTCTCTGGATTAACTTCACCTATAAATGTTAGTATCCAGTTATATTGTGTGTATCTAGGAAAGAATCCTGGCCAGAACCAACTCTTTACAGAGTCTATTCCACATTTTTCACAGCTCTTACTGTGAAGAAACCTTTCCATATTTGGAGATTAACTCTCTTTTCCTCCAGACGTAAAGCGTGTCCCCTTGTCCATGTGATGACCTCAGGGTGAATAACGCTACACCGAGTTCACTATATGAACCACTGATGTATTTATACATGTTGATCATATTCCCCCTTAAGCTCCTCTTCTCAAGAGAGAATAAATTCAGTGCCTCTAATCTTTCCTCATAGCTGAGCTCCTCCATGCCTCTTATCAGTTTGGTTGCCCTTCTCTGTACTTTCTCCAGTTCCCCAATGTTCTTTTTGTGTATTGGTGCCCAAAACTGAACAGCATATTTCAGATGAGGTATAACTAATGATTTGTACAGGGGGAATATGACATCTCTCTCTCTGGAGTATATACCTCTTTTAATACAGAAGAGTCTTTTTGCTCGCTCTAGAAACCGCCAGCTTGGCATTGCATGCCACTTTCAAGTGAACAGTGCAAGAATCACGTACTGCATTAGCTAGCCTCCCAAATGAAACAAGTAAAGCAAAAAAAATTATTAAAAACACTTTGAAAAAGCGGTTTAAAATCCAGGGTGTATGGTAAGTATTTTTTGCTTTTTTACATTAATTTTTTTACTTTAACAAAGCACTTATTTATTTATTGGTGATTTCATAAAATTACTGATTTAAATCTGAAATTCAAACACATACACTATATTGCCAAAAGTATTGGGACGCCTGCCTTTACATGCACAAGAACTTTAATATGGTATCCCAGTCTTAGTCCGTAGGGTTCAATATTGAGTTGGTACACCCTTTGCAGCTATAACTGCTTCAACTCTTCTGGGAAGGCTGTGCACAAGGTTTAGGAGTGTGTCTATGGGAATGTTTGACCATTCTTCCAGGAGTGCATTTATGAGGTCAGGCACTGATATCGGATGAGGCTCTGGCTCACAGTCTCCGCTCTATTTCATCCCAAAGGTGTTCTATCCAGTTGAGATCAGGACTCTGGGCAGACCAATCAAGTTCCTTCACCCCAAATTCACTCATCTATGTCTTTATGGACCACTTTATGCACTGGTGCGCAGTCATGATGGAACAGGAAGGAGCCATCCCCAAACTGTTCCCACAAAATTGGAGCATGAAATTGTCCAAAATGTCTTGGTATGCTGATGCCTTAAGAGTTCCCTTCACTGGAACCAAGGGGCCAAGCCCAACCCCTGAAAAATGACCCCACACCATAATCCTCCCTCCACCAAACTTTACACTTGGCACAATGCAGTCAGGTAAGTGCCGTTCTCCTGGCAACCGCCAAACCCTACAGAGAAGTTTGATTCATCACTCCAGGAGAACACATCTCCACTGTCCTAGAGTCCAGTGGGTGGCGTGCTTTCATCTCCACTGTCCTAGAGTTCAGTGGTGGCGTGCTTTACACCGCTGCATCTGAAGCTTTGCATTGCACTTGGTGATGTAAGGTGTCAGGGCTCCGGGTATGACCAGAGGTATGTGAACTGACGCAGGGGAAACGCAGGCTTCAGATATGTTATAAACAATAAGACAATTTATTAAAGACTAACAATACAAACATAAACGCAGTGCACCAAACCCCAAGCTAACACAAATACATACAACAAGGTGAAACAAACCCAAACCTAAACTGATACAGATACACAGGTACATACACATATAGAGCACAACATAATCAGGCAGGCCGGGGGGGGGGGGGGGGGGGGGGGGTGGGGGGGTCAATAAACTATCGGGCAGGGTAGTTACAGGAGGAGCAGGCGGAGAGAATGGTCAGGGTCACAAGCCAGGGATCAAAACAGGAGAAGTCAGCAGAGGTCAGGATCAGACCGGGTCGGCAACAAGTCAGGCAGAGGCAGAGGCAGGAACAGGAACGCAGGTTACAAGATACAGGGGCCCATGGAAAAAACACACACCAAGGCACAGACTGCAGGTCTGGCCATCCCTTAAATACACCTGCATAATCAGCTTCAGGTGTTTGGCTGGCTGCAGGGTTGAGTCTCTGATTGCTGAGAGCACCCGCTGGCCAGCCCTGGTACTGCAGCCCACAAGGCAGGCAAGTCCCACCATTACTGGCAAGTCCATTCCTGACAGTACCCCCCCTCAAGGAGCGGCCTCAGGACGCTCCAAACAGTCCTAGCTGGGCAAAATGTTTCCACACCGCCCGGGTCTGGTAAAACTGGCGGGATATCAAAGACTGGCACATCGGGCAGGACTCCGGGCAGCGGCACATCGGGCAGAACTCTGGGCAGCGGCACATCGAGCTGGACTCCCGGCAGCGGCACATCGAGCTGGACTCCCGGCAGCGGCACATCGAGCTGGACTCCCGGCAGCGGCACATCGAGCTGGACTCCCGGGCAGCGGCACATCGAGCTGGACTCCGGGCAGCAGGACTGGTGTCAGGAATGGACTGGCCAGCAATAGTGGGGACTCACCTGCCTTATGAGCTGCAGTACCAGGGCATGCCTGGCCAGCGGGTGCTCCCAGCAATCAGAGACTCAACCTTGCAGCCAGTCAAACACCTGGAACTGATTATACTGGTGTATTTAAGGGATGGCCAGACCTGCAGACTCTGCCTTGGTGTGTGTTTTTCCTGGGCCCTGTATCCTGTTCCTGCATCCTGTTCCTGTTCCTGTCTTGTCGCTGACCCTGCCTGATCTGACCTCTGCTGACTTCTCTGCTCTGACCCCAGCTCGTTCCTGACCATCCCTCTGCCTGACCCTCTGTACCACTCTGCCCGCTACCTGCTGAACCTGGCTTGTGACCCCGACCATTCTCCGCTTGCTCCCCCTGTACCTACCTGCCCGATTGATATTGACCCGGCCTGCCTGACGACGCTTGCATTGTATGTACTGTTATCTGTGGGTGGTTTGGTTTGGTTCGTTTGCACTGTGTTATGTTTTAGTGTTGCACTGCGTTTATGTTTGTATTGTTAGTGTTAATAAATTACATTGTTTGTATCATAAACATATCTGAAGTCTGCATTTCCCTGCGTCAGTCACACACTCTCTGGTCATACCCGGGAGCCCTGACATTACACCAAGGCCAATCCTGACCAGAAGTGGCTGCACAGGGAAGCCAACTTGGCTTGTTGCTGGGGAAGGATGTGGATTTTGAGGAGTTGGATTTTTTGTGTATTTATATCTGCTAGTGTTTGATGACAGAGAGTATGCTTATCAAACTCTGAAGGAGTATCCCCGGGATGAACTGCTAGAATGTATACGGCTCGCTCATGTTCTAGTAGATCAGGGCACAGAGTTCTCTGAGGTGCAGCCATTGATTCAGATTTGTGCGGAGTTGGTTTCATCTGGTACCCCCCCGAATGCAGGGATGAATTTTTGCCGCCATTTAGTGCCGACCAGGTAGAGTCCCTGGTATGGTTATTTAGAGGATGATGTGGATTGCTTCTTGGAGCATTATGCTGCATGTTCACCACAGATACTAAGAGATTGTATAAATGCAGTGCAGTCTTTGGTCAGACAGGCTTTGTGTAAGCTCAGCTTTGTT